GTGTAAAACTAACACTTGTACAACATATAGTTTCATATAGTCACATTCAGTATAATAAAACCTCTGAAACTCAGACACCTTTACATTGATATATGATACGTGAAGATCCGGGGTAGAATAGTTCTCCAGCAACCCATGCTTCCCGTAAAAGGCGACTATGCTTGTCGTAAAAGGCGACTAACGGGATCGGGTGGTCAGGCTCGCTGACTTGGTTGATGCATGTCATCGATCCCAATTGCGTAGATTGATGCTCATGATATTAATCACTGGATTGTTTAGCCCAGACTCGATTATTTACAGACCGCCGCCATATTGCTGGAATATTGCTGAGCGCGGCGTTAAACAACAAACCAACCAACCAATGAACGTGAGTCATCAATAACCCGCCCAAAGTTTGGAGAATGGCGTTAACACTTCGGCAACCACAATTCCTGGGCCATAATCAGTAACGCTGGCTCCTCAAAGACTCAAGGCCTTTCCGTGTCTTTTCAATCTCAACAAACTTGTACTACCAAGTAGGCTGTGTGAATGACATCCAGATTCATGGTTCCCACAGAAGCAATACACCTGATGAAATAGACAAGCAGTCGGCAGACATTGACAAGTATTCAGAGTTTTCCCAACACAAATAGCCTTTGAACTCTGATTAAGGGAGTGGGCATCAAAGCCTACTGTTTTGCTTTCATCATGAATTTGGAAAGATAATATACTTTGGGATTTTGTGTAAAAGACTTTTTGCTCTTACATCAGACATTTTAGAAAGTCAATTTCACTTGTTATCAATCATGTCTGTCAAACTATATTTATCTTATTACAGCAGTTTTTGAAAAGGATATTTTGGAATAGATATGTAGTGAAGGCTGAAGATAATCATGTGATAGCATCCTTGGAGTTCATTGGTGTGGAAATGGGTCAAGAATTGCCCTCGGTCAGTATCTGATTTAACGCATTCAAATGATAATTGCAACCGAATTCCTTGCTCATGGATTTGGGCTTCAGATCTTTTTGCGATATTATTCATGTCTCGATAGTAGTGCGGGATGTGATACACCAGATTTGTATTGCATCGCAGTGTATTGCATGATGTATGGGAAACATCATGAGTGAGTTGGGTTTATCACTGCTTAAACAGTATCAATCTCATTAAAATCGGATCTTAGTTCTCGCTACCGCTAAACAAAGATCTGAGGACATCCCATTACGGGTCACGTCAGACCGACCTTGCACGAACTTTGACCGACCAATGGAATGACCAATCAGAAGGCAGCTTTCTCATGCTTTACGGCACAAATTTCAAATTGGCAACTACGCTTCGAAACATATTTTGACAAATTCTCGATTACAAATTTGAAACCTGAACAAAACACATTCTGGAATGGCTAATGGATGGTCTAGATTGTATGGATTCAGTTGTTAAACCCGTAACTATCATTCGGAATACCCCATGTTAAAGTTTTCGAGATTGCATGATCAGACTGTCACTTTCATAATCTGGTAAGCGACGCACTGATTGGTCAGATGAAAGGTCGTTCTGACGTGACCCCTAATGGGATGTCCTCAGATCTTTGTTTAGCAGTAGCGAGAAACTAAGGTCTGATTTTAATGAGATTGAAACAGTATTCCAGTTATATGGCGGCATGACAGGTTAATGTGGGAAGAAAGTCAGAAGTGATGCAGGTCTCAGACGTCTACAACTTCGGTGAAACCCACGAGCATGGGTATGGTGCTGACAAACCTAGAAACATAATCAGCTGATAATCAGGGTGAACCAGGTTCTGAACCAACAATCATGTTTCTAGCATCCCCAAGGGATGCAACTCAAGCCAACTGCAGCACAAACTACTGGGCCACCTGTGCCCCCTGACAGATCCATGAAAGAAACCTCACCTTAATCACTGAACCTTCAAGGAATATATTTGATCATTTCTTCTTACCTGAATTAAAAGATTAAATAAGGCTCCAATACCAGTTGTTGCACAGTGGATCTAAACCATTTTGAGCTGGTTTAACTTAAAAGAATGCAATACTAAATTTGATTGACTTGACTGTTGGTATGACCAAGGAAGTAGGAGTGACAACCTGTTATTAAACTATGGAGGATCTACAAGAAACTAAACATGATTCTCTTAATTATGTGAAGAAAAGATGAATTAACTTCAGTGAAAGAGTGAGTGAGAATGGTTTTACGCCGCTTTTAGCAATATTCCAGCAATATCACGGCGGGGGACACCAGAAATGGGCTTCACACATTGTACCCATGTCGGGAATTGAACTCGGGTCTTCGGCGTGACGAGCGAACACTTTAACCACTTGGCTACCCGACCGCCTCTTCAGTGAAAGAAAATAATATCTACCGGGTAATGCTGATTGGCTAAGAGTATGGGTATGGCATCCCTACGGCAGCCTAATGCTAACTGACTGATTGATGCCTGCTACCGTCTTACATCTGTCCACAACCATCGCATTTCACATGCTGTCACAGCCACATGTTGGTGTATTCATGCAATGCGATCTTTATGCATTGGGTGTGATTTGGAGAACAGTTCAATACTTTAAAACGACATGTCTTCAGAAAACCAGAGATGCAATGGTTCACCAGAGGTTAGGTGCATCTCAATACCAGTGTGTCATGAGATCATGTGACCACCTCCGTTGTCTAGTGGTAGAGAGTCCGCCCGGAGAGCGGAAGGTCCGGGGTTCGATCCCCGGCCGCGTCATACCAAAAGACGTTAAAAGTTGGTACTTGTTGTTACCCTGTCTGGCGCTCGGCATTAAAGGGGCTAAAACAAGGACTGGTCGGCTCGGAGTCAGTTTACTGTGTCTGAGTAGGGTATTCATGTTAAACTGTAGCATGGTATCTCAGTGAGCTAGCACTATAAATCGGCATCAGTCTGGACTAGTACAAGCAGCCACACAAACACACACACGTACATGCACGTCGCTATATAAGTGCAATAATCTTGGACGCGACGTTAAACCCCATTTCACCTCACCTCACTATGAGGTCATGTATCAGAACAAATCTACACAAGCGTAAAAAGAACTTTTGAAAAAAGTACAAATATTCTTATTAAATACAATTTTTGTAACATGTACAACAGGCCATTTTTATTTTAATTGACTTGAAATTACTTGTTTGATTTATTTTGGTAGGCCGGGTTTCTTTTCTTTGATGATGGAATATGTTTCCTTTGCATGACAGGTGGTGAGAGTTTCTGTATGGGCTCAGGTCTCGTATTGCAGCTTTCCTAGTGAGAGACATCTACCCAGACAAAGTGTATCCTCACAGCCCTAACCACCACACGCTATTATTATAACATTACAACTTTCACAGGAGGTAATTATTCCTCCGTGGTTGCAGCACATCTGGGAATGAGACAAGCCCAAGTTCGCAGTCATGTGGGATTAATTTAGCTATGCTAATTGGCCAAACTTTAACCTGACAAGCTAGAAACAAGTCTTCTTGTTAATCTTTGCATGGAGGTCATAGAAAAAAATCTAGGGCAATGGCTATTCACACGCAAATGTTTAAAACTTGATTTACATTAGAGCTAGGGCTAATTATGTTACTGTCATTGATGGCTTGTATGTAATTATGGAGTCAGTTTGTAGGGAATTTCTGTTTCTTGTCCTCTTGTCAAGCTTTTGTGTCCATTTGCAGCCAAGCTGACCATGGATATAGAGCAGTAACTTCACAGTTGTATACAAAGGCACTTGTGTCATGTGATCCAGACATTTGTGCCTTGTGATCCAGACATTTGTGTGATGTGATCCAGGCATTTGTGTCTTGTGATTCAGGCACTTGCAGAACAGGATCGATGATGAAGACACTTGTGTCATGTGATTTAGACATTTGTGTCATGTGATTCAGGCATTTGTGTCATGTGATCCAGACATGTGTGTCATGTGATCCAGACATTCATGTCATGTGATTCAGACATTTGTGTCACGTGATCCAGACATTTGTGCCTTGTGATCCAGACATTTGTGTCATGTGATCCAGACATTTGTGTCTTGTGATTCAGGCACTTACAGCACATGATTAAGACACTTGTGCCATGTGATTCAGGCACTTGTGTCTAGTGATTCAGACATTTGTATGTTTAAAACTGTTCTTGCCCTATGAGCGTCACACCAAGATATTTTAAAAGATGGTACTTGTTGTAACCCTGCCTGGCGCTCTGCATTAAGGGACTAAAACAAGGATCAGTTGGATCGGAGTCAGTATACTGTGTCTGAGTAGGGCATTCATGTTAACCTGCGGCATGGTATTTCAGTAGGCTAGCACTATAAAATCGGCATGGTGAAATGGGGTTTAACGTCGCGTCCAAGATTATTGCACTTATATAGCGACATGCATGTACGTGTGTGTGTGGCTGCTTGTACCAGTCCGGACTGATGCCGACTTATAGTGCTAGCTCACTGAGATACCATGCCGCAGTTTAACATGAATACCCCACTCAGACACAGTATACTGACTCCGAGCCGACCAGTCCTTGTTTTAGCCCCTTTAATGCCGCGCGCCAGACAGGGTAACAACAAGTGCCATCTTTTAACGTCCTTTGGTATGACAAGGCCGGGGATCAAACCCCGGACCTTCCGCTCTCCGGGCGGACGCTCTACCACTAGCATGACTAGACCACGGAGGTGGTCTAATGAATGTGAGTGTGTGATGTGTATTTGACCAGGATGCTTTGTCGGTCTTCAGTACTGCAGCTGTGACACAGGCTGTAAATCATCACTGGTGTAGTGCACACAAATGAAGGATCATAATCAGGCAAATCTGGGATTCAAACCCAAGAGAAACAGTTCCCGGTAGCTAAGAGATACAGCAGTAACCACTGGGCCACTGAGTTCATGCATTAGTCTTTCTTGTGTTTGTGAATCTGTCAATATGACGCTTTACCTGTGTGTCTGTTTACCTGTGACTTTACTAGTGTGTCTGTTTAGGTGTCTGTATGTCTGTTAACCTTTGTTCAACGGTGTTTGTACAATTGCAGGTCTGCAGTGGTTGGATGTAGCTCACCTGCACTCATCAAGATGGGTGTTTCCACAACAGGACATGCCAGAGATATGTGTGCAGCATCGTCACGATGATCAGGAATCAACTGCAGGCCGGGAGCTTCTGCTGCTGAAGACAGGTAAGTCTCCATCACCAGCTCCTTCACCCAAATAATTTCTGATTACATGAAGAGATCTTTCAGATGCCAAATCCAAGGACTGTTCTCGTGTATCAACATATGTGTGATATTTCACATTAAAAAGAAACAGTCTCAGACTCTGTGAAGGTTTCGCCACAGATTCCAACACTCTGAAAGCATTCCGACTGGACCTAATGGTCTTAACTGTTTCAAGGGAGACAAAGCTCAGGTCAACAGGCAGTCCCAGCAGATTATTGAAGTCATACATGTCTTACTTGCATTTAATCCTACTGGGTAACCATTCACTGCTGACTGGAGGCATATTTCAACAAAGTTTCTTGCCAAAGCAAACTCACAGGAGTCAAGCTGGTGAATCAGACACCCACCCACCTACGCTCCGTGAGCAACGTTGCTTAACTTCGCCTGATATGTGACCTGTGTGTTTGCACAGGACCACGTGTCACCACAACTAATAAGGCCATCCTCTACAGTACCACATATCTTTATACAGACATCATTCAATATAATGACATCAATATTTTTTTGCGTGAATGGAGTACAAACCTGTGATGTAAATTCTTATTAAAATATGTCAAAAATTATAGCTTCACCTATTCTCAGACTTCTTGTGTAACCATTAACAGACAAGAAACTGTAGACGACAAAACGAAATTATAGACATCATTCAATATTGCAACACAAGCCTAGTCATTATGAGCCAATCAGGAAATAGTTGTCCTTTAGTGGGCAGTGCCTAATTTGTTTTCGGTTTATGGAAACAAAAGCAAATAAAATTGCTCAGTTAGCCAATCAAATGCATGGGAATCACTTGCAAGATTTGTTTATTAGGCATTTCTGTCAGCTAATTATAGGTTACGCCCCTTTAAGATGAGATAGACATGCATGACTAAAGATAAATATTCACAAGCTGATGTTTTTATGTGTTCTGTTAATGAAAGCAAACACACCAGTACCCCTCAACATATGAACTGTCTCTCGCCACCCTGTCAGGTCATCGTAATCAGGCAAAAGCAAATTGCAAGTTCAATGCAGGAAAACTAGATACCCATTTTCCTGAACATGTAAAAAGTGACATTATTGTTGTCAGAAAGATGCAGAAAATGAAGGATATGGGTTATTTTTAGCTAAGTGGCAAGCATGTACATTTGGGCCCACATCGATCAATCATTGGAGTGGCTGCATGTTTTTGTACTCATCCTGGAAGTATTCTACCTGCTGGCTCGACATGCGTGACCTCAAACTGGGGTCAGCCTACTCCAGTCTTTTCCTCAGGGCAGTAGACCTGGGTCCACGTGTACAAAGTGGGCTCAAAGCGATGTTAGTGCTACAATCACGACAAGGATCATAACTCCCATACCTTAACATGGACTTACGACAGTTATGGCACTGAGGATCGCTTTGTGCAAGTGGGCCCAGTTTACCTCGGTAAATGTTCTTTACGAGTTTCAGGAACTGAAAAGGGGATGAGTATTATGAGACTGTCAGAGATGAGAAGGGGATGATTATAGGCTGCTAGAGCTGAAAAGGGGATGAGTATAGGCTGCTAGAGCTGAAAAGGGGGGAGTATTGGCTGCTACAGCTGAAAAGGGGATGAGTATAGGCTGCTAGAGCTGAAAAGGGGAGTATAGGCTGCTAGAGCTGAAAAGGGATGAGTACAGGCTGCTAGAGCTGAAAAGGGATGAGTACAGGCTGCTAGAGCTGAAAAGGGATGAGTACAGGCTGCTAGAGCTGAAAAGGGATGAGTACAGGCTGCTAGAGCTGAAAAGGGATGAGTACAGGCTGCTAGAGCTGAAAAGGGATGAGTACAGGCTGCTAGAGCTGAAAAGGGATGAGTACAGGCTGCTAGAGCTGAAAAGGGATGAGTACAGGCTGCTAGAGCTGAAAAGGGATGAGTACAGGCTGCTAGAGCTGAAAAGGGGATGAGTATAGGCTGCTAGAGCTGAAAAGGGGATGAGTACAGGCTGCTACAGCTGAAAAGGGATGAGTACAGGCTGCTACAGCTGAAAAGGGGATGAGTATAGGCTGCTAGAGCTGAAAAGGGGATGAGTATAGGCTGCTACAGCTGAAAAGGGGATGAGTATAGGCTGCTAGAGCTGAAAAGGGGATGAGTACAGGCTGCTAGAGCTGAAAAGGGGATGAGTACAGGCTGCTAGAGCTGAAAAGGGGATGAGTATAGGCTGCTACAGCTGAAAAGGGGATGAGTATAGGCTGCTAGAGCTGAAAAGGGGATGAGTATAGGCTGCTAGAGCTGAAAAGGGGATGAGTACAGGCTGCTAGAGCTGAAAAGGGGATGAGTATAGGCTGCTAGAGCTGAAAAGGGATGAGTACAGGCTGCTACAGCTGAAAAGGGGATGAGTATAGGCTGCTGGAGCTGAGAAGGGATGAGTATAGGCTGCTAGAGCTGAAAAGGGGAGTATAGGCTGCTGGAGCTGAGAAGGGGATGTGTATAGGCTGCTAGAGCTGAGAAGGGATGAGTATAAGCTGCTAGAGCTGAGAAGGGATGAGTACAGGCTGCTAGAGCTGAAAAGGGATGAGTATAGGCTGCTACAGCTGAAAAGGGGCGTATAGGCTGCTGGAGCTGAGAAGGGATGAGTATAGGCTGCTAGAGCTGAAAAGGGGAGTATAGGCTGCTGGAGCTGAGAAGGGATGAGTATAGGCTGCTAGAGCTGAAAAGGGGAGTATAGGCTGCTAGAGCTGAAAAGGGGAGTATAGGCTGCTAGAGCTGAAAAGGGGGGAGTATAGGCTGCTAGAGCTGAGAAGGGGATGAGTATAGGCTGCTAGAGCTGAAAAGGGATGAGTATAGGCTGCTAGAGCTGAAAAGGGGGGAGTATAGGCTGCTAGAGCTGAAAAGGGGATGAGTATAGGCTGCTAGAGCTGAAAAGGGATGAGTATAGGCTGCTAGAGCTGAAAAGGGGGGAGTATAGGCTGCTGGAGCTGAAAAGGGGATGAGTATAGGCTGCTGGAGCTGAAAAGGAGAGTATAGGCTGCTGGAGCTGAGAAGGGATGAGTATTGGCTGCTACAGCTGAAAAGGGATGAGTATAGGCTGCTAGAGCTGAGAAGGGGATGAGTATAGGCTGCTGGAGCTGAGAAGGGGGGAGTATAGGCTGCTAGAGCTGAAAAGGGGATGTGTATAGGCTGCTAGAGCTGAAATGGGGATTGTTATGGTATTGGGGAAATTGTTTTATTAAATATATGCATCATTGCATTGTGTTTAAGAAATTAACAAGCTTGTAACATTGTATTCCAATTAGTTAAATCTTACAATTTTTTTCCCCGTCAGTGAAGTGTATTACTATCTTCCATCATCTAGCAGCGATCCCATCAGTAACTAAAGGATCTAAGCATCTGCTGCCTATCTACTAAGTAGATGGTAGAACATGCTCGGAGATGCATGTGCACGATCTTTGACCTTTGATTATCTGGGACTGGGAGTACTGGCCTATGTAAACACACCCGGAGCATCTCGCTGCCTTTGGAAGATAAGGGGGTTATAATGTGACCACAACAGTCTCCTGGTTTTGTCTGCTAGACTTGCAGGCGGTGCCAGAATTGGCAGACTTCAGTAAATATCATGTATGGCAGTTGTCAAATACTGAAGTAGATATATACATATATTCCTTCCTATCACGGTGGGATAAGGCATTTATCGGAGCTTTTACCTCCATTGGATGATGAATATTGACTCTCACATGCAGGTAATGTTACTTGGAACATATCAGCAAAGGTCAAGGTCAGCCGCAATTTATATCAATTACAGCTACAGATGAAAATATCTATAAATATAATGAAAAAAATATGAATTTTTTTGGGGAAAGGTTCTTTTTTATAGGGGAGTGGTGAGTGAAAGATATAAACGTGAGAAGGTGGTGGTGATGTTGTTTGCAGGCAAACTAGATAACATTATTTGTTTGTTGTTTAAAACCTCACTCATCCATATTCCAGCTACATATGTATATGATCATGATGATGGCAGTCTATAAATAATGGTGTCTGGACCAGACAATCAGATCAAACATGACCATGATCAGATGCAGTTTATCTCTCATAGTAGTTTCACAAATTGACAATTGCCATTCCTAGACTTACATTCATTATGCACAATTTTCAAATCATGTTTCTTATTGAATATGACTGAACCCATCTTTAAAGGCTAATAAATAAAATCCAATGGAATTTAACCCCAGAAATATCTTACCACGGTTCTACAATCCTTGCTGAAACACTCTTATTACATGACATGAAATATATAGAGGATTCATCACGAGTGTTTTTTAATATAGGAAATATCAACCGAGTCTTAGTTAATCGGTATTTGCCGAACCTTTGGCAAGGCAAATACCGATTAACGGGACGAGGTTGATATTTCCCATATTAAAAAACACGAGTGATGAATTCTATTTATCATTTTCACATTTTTGCTTCCAAATTAAGGAATAATTGCATTAAACAGTAACATCAGCAACTTGTCGAAATCTTACGTGCCTATTCTCACTCGTGCGTAGTGATACATGTTTTCCATAGCCATGTAAACCAAAATAAACAATTCGCTGAGAAAAAAAGTTCCTCGGATTATTTTAAACAAAATACTTGAACAGACTTTGGCAGAATAATTGAAACTTTAATAACGGTAACAACAACGATTCTGTGTAATCTGATTATATCTCTGGTGTAACTTCACTTATAATATATAGTTTCAAATCAAACCGCTCTCTCTTCCGGTTAGCTAATTTGCATATATAATTTGCATACTTATGTCATTGGGGTATGACATACATGTTTTTATGTCATAAGCTTATGTCATGGATAAATGCTTTAGTTAAATGATAAACACCATATACACACTTGTTAACCAAACACCCCACAATGCCATAACAGCTCTGATCGGGTCGGCCAAGTTGGTAGACATTTTATCATTTTTTCTGGGCTTAAAGTGATAGAACGAGAGCGAAACATGGCCCTCTCTCTGTTGGGTTATCGC